CACTCCCACAAATGTAAGTCCATGGCAGAGATGGCAATTCATGCTTCTTCTCAGCCTTGATGGAACAGGAGGACACTTTGGAAACTTCTCCCGGACTGCGAAAAATGGAGAGCATGTCCTGGAAAAAAGGAGGACGCCTGGTCACCCCTGGTGACACATAGTGTCACCCCCACACCCCTCTCCAACTGACCTCCTCTCAGGCTGAGAGAATAGCACACCTTGTGGTTGTGGTTGTTGTGGTTGTGTGCCTTCAAGTCGTTTCTGACTTATGGAGACCCTAAAGTGAAATTATCATGGGGGTTTCTTGGCAGGTTTCTTGGGGTTTGCTGCGGCCATCCTCTGCGGCTGAGAGAGTGTGACTTGCTCAAGGTCACACACCCCCAGTGGGTTTACATGGCCGAGCTGGAATTCGAACCCTGGTCTCCAGAGTCGTAGTCTGATGCTCAATCCGCTACACTATGCTGGCTTCATACTAGTCCGACACTCAAACTACTACACCGAGGTATAATTTTAATTTTGCTAGTTATTTATGTCACAGTTATTGCCATTACATTCAGTGATGTAGGCAAAACTATCCTGGGACTTTTCTCGGCAAGATTTATTCAGTTTGCCATTACCTTCCTCTGAGGCTGAGAGAGTGTGAGGCTGTCTCATACATTGCCATCCTCTGAAGCTGAGAGAGTATCACTTGTCCAGGGTCAACCAGTGAGTTTATGTGGCTCATTCGGGAAGGACTTGAACCCTGGTCTCTAGAGTCCTAGTTAAACACTCAAACCATTACGCCAAGGTATAATTTTAATTTCTCTAGTTTATTTCACAACTACTGCCATTGCATTAAGTGATAGAGGGGAATTACAATTTATGAATAATATTAGTACTCATATTACTAACGTTATTGTGTGCCTCCAAGTCATTTCTAGCTTATGGTGACCATGTTTTTATTTTTGTTCTGGCAGGTTTCTTCAGAGGGGTTTTTGCCCTTGACGTCTTCTGAGGCTGAGAGTGTGTGACTGACCCAAGAGGATCCACTAGGTTTACATGGCCAAGCTGGGATTCGAACCCTGGTCTCCAGAGTCGTAGTCCCAACACTCAAACCACTACACCATGCTGGCTCTCAGCACATCATACAGAAACCTCAGTAATGTTAATAATGTTAGATGAGAGCCAGCATGGTGTAGTGGTTTGAGTGTTGGAACTATGACTCTGGAGTCCAGGGTTCAAATCCTCGCTGAGCCATGAAACCCACTGGGTGACCTTGGGCAAATCACACTCTCTCAGCCTCAGAGGATGGCCTTTCTCTCATGCAAAATCTGTGCATACAGAGGGCCAACTTATTTGAAAACAAAGATGAAAACAGTACAGCACAATAAAAAAACAACCATATTGTTAACAATCAATTCTCAAAGGCTTACTGGAATAGAAAAGTCTTAACTGCTGCTGAAAAGACAACAAGGTTCAAATAGATGACTACAGTGATCCCTCCACATTTGCTGGGGTTAGGGGCACAGGATCCCCATGAAAGTGGAAAAACTGCAAGTAAATAAATAAATAAATAAATAAATAAAATCACTATATATATTACCTGAGACAACACCTCTCTAGGAATTTCTAGGTCCTCCAAAGCAACTCTATAACGTTATAAAGCTAAATGAAGTATAATGAAAAAAAGTTATAATACAGCTGGTCCTCCACATTTGTGGCTTTGACTTTTGTGGGTTTGATTAGTCACGGATTTGATTAATATGTATTCTCTAGGAATTTTTACTTCCTCCAGTGTGACTCTACCAGATGTTGACCTTAGATTTGCACTGGAGGACCGATATGTTCCTAGAGAAAATAATTCTTTAGGCATTTATAGGTCCTCCAGCATGATTCTGTGGTCAACTTGTGGCAGATGTTGACCATAGAGTTGTGCTGGAATAGCTAGATTCCTAGAGAGAATGGCTTCTTTTTATTTGTGATTTCCCCACTTTCACTGGGGGTCTGTTTCCCTAACCTCAGCAGATGTGGAGGGTCTACTGTATTAGAACTTAAAGGAACCAAATGTTTTAACAACCAGTGTTGGCTTCTATCTATTTCTGGCAGTGCCCAGATGACTCTGATAGCAGCCTGATAGACAGATATTGAATTGGTGCATCTTTTTGTTCATGGAGCTGCAGTAATGAGGAACTTAAATCTGTTGATCTTCTGCCTGTCACAGAGATGTTAAAGAGAACTTCTGCCTAGTTTTTGTGGGTTTTTTTCGGGCTGTGTGGCCATGTTCTAGAAGAGTTTCTTTCTGACGTTTCGCCAGTATCTGTGGCTGGCATCTTCAGAGAAAAAAAAGAAAGGTTTTTTTCCCTCTGAAGATGCCAGCCGCAGATGCTGGTGAAACGTCAGAAAGAAACTCTTCTAGAACATGGCCACACAGCCTGAAAAACCCCACAAAAACTATGGATGCCGGCCACGAAAGCCTACAACTTCACAGAACTTCTGCCTGGTGAACTTCTGCCTGTCAAGAAAAGTAAAGGCAGAAGACCTACTGAAACTATAGAAGAATAATTGAAATTTCTGAGAAAGATGTTTTATTATATTCAGTGCATTTTGCTCTCAAGTAATACATAGAACAGTTTTTAGTTAGCACATTATGGCCGAATCAGGAATGGGAGTCCTACAGCCCCCACCTAATGTTGCTGGATTGCAATTCCCAGCATTCATCACTGGCTAGGGCTAGTGGGAGTTGAAGTCCAGCAAGACTTGGAAAGCCATGTGATTACTACCCCTGACTTAGGACAAGCTTGCAACATATGAATAAAATCAAAGACTTTACCATCATTCTGATTGTTTGATTTATTTATTTATTTATTTATTTCTGTGCTGCCTTTCTCCCAAAAAGGGATCCAAGGTGGCCCACAAATAAAATTATTTTAAAACTACAATAAAAATGTAAACACAATTAAAAACATCTAGCTTAAAACAGTATAAAATTACCCCAAACATGCAGAGGTTAAATAACATAAATAGAGCATACATTCTTTATAAAAGCCTCCCTGACACAATTGTTTGAATAAAAGCATCTTGTCTTGCCAACAAAAAACAAGCAGGGACGGGGCCAGCCTAGCCTCCCATGGAAGGAAGTTCCAGAGTGTGAAAGCACCCACCAAGAAAGTTCTCTTTCGTGTCCTTGCCAAGCAAGACTATGATGGTGGTGGGACCGAGAGAAAGCCTTCCCCTGGCCATCTTAATTTTCTGGCAGGTTCATATGGGGAGATATGGTTCTGCAAATAATCTGGACCTAAAGCCTCATAGGGCTTTATAAGTCATGACCAGCACTTAGAATTTTACCCAGAGATGAATGTTTGTTAGGACGTTATCACACGTGGGCCAGTTTCGTTGTTAAAGAGATAA